CCGGGCGTGATAGCGCATGCCTGTAATTCCGGCTACTTGGAAGGCTAAGGCGGAAGGATCGCCGGAGCCCAGCAAGTCGAGGCTGCGGTGGCCGGGAGCGGCCACTGCACTCCAGTCTGGGCGACAGAGTGAGACTCCAATTCAAAAAATAAAATAAAATAAAATAAAATACCTTAGAATAATCTAATAAATACTGCAAGACCACTACATAGAAAATTATGTAACAAAATTGGAAGAAAAGAAAGAAGACCGGGTAACTCTATGCCAGGAAATTCAACAATAGATACAATGGGCAAATTTCTTGAAAAGAATTCAATCAAACAGAATCACAAAGAATGCTCTTATATCTGTTAAGTAAATTAATTCCATAATTTAAAACTTCCCAACAGGGCCCAAATGATTGATGAATCTTTCAAACAGTTAAGAAATCACACCAAGGTTACATAAGCTTAGAGAAGTGAGAAAGAAGAAATACATCTCAATTCATTTTTGAGGCAAGAATAATGATGATATTTAGAATGATCCAGAATCCTGATTTGTCTGGGACTGAGGGGCTTCTGTGATGGGGGCTTGCAATGCTAAAATCTGCCATGAACAATCATAGACAAATCTTTGCGTAGACATACATTTTCATGTCTCCTTGGTAATAAATGTATGTTTACCTTTATCAGAAACAGCCCAAATTGTCTTCCAAAGTGATCTGACAGTTTTGCATTCCCACCAACAATCTTTGAGAGTTCCAAATATTCCACAGCCTTGTCAAAACTTGGTATTATCAGTCTTTCCAATTTTAACTCTGCTAGCGAATATGCTGTAGAATCATTGTGGTTTTAATTTGCATCTCCCTGATAACTAATGATGTTAAGCACCTGTTCATGTTCATTTACACATTTTTTGTTAAATATCATTTTAAATACAGTAAGTCCCCTACATATGAACCTTCAAGTTGTAAACTTTCAAGGATACAAATGTGTGTTTGCATGTCGCATTACGAAAGTTAGTTCACACGTCTGGCATACGTTGTCACTTGTGTACATCCTTTGCAAGTAGTTGTGTTTCTGTGTACTTTACTGTACAGTACTATAGAGAGTACAGTGGTAGAGTATCTTTATTTCAAGCCCAGGATGTCCAGAAGTAAGGGTGAAAGCAGCAGTGATGTAGCTGGTACCATATAGCCGATTGTGTTAGTTGGGTACCTAGGCTAATTTTGTTGGACTGATGAGCAAATTGAACTTAAGAATATGCTCTAGGAATGGAACTCATTTAGATGTAAGGAACTTACTGTATTTTGACCATTTTAAAACCAGATGTTTGTCTTCCTATTATTGATTACAATAATATCTAAAATATTCTGTATGTTCTAGATACAAGAACCGTTTTCAGTATATATATGATGATATTTTCTCCCAGTCTGTGGCTTGCCTTTTCATATTCTTTACAGTGCCTTTCAAAAAGCAGAAATCTTCAGTTTTGGTAAAGTCCAATTTATCAGTTTTTTTATTTTTTGGTTCATGCATTTTATGACCTAAGAAAACTTTGCAAGCTCCAACATAGCAAAGATTTTTCTCCTAGTTTGTTTTTAGAAGTTTTATATTTTTGGCTTTTACATTTTGAGTTAATCTTTGCTCATAATGTAAGGATTGAGATTCATTTTTCCCCATCAATATGCAGCTTCCCAGCACCATTTGTTGAAAGCATTATCCTTTCCCCCATTGAATTCCACTAGCATCCTTGTTGAAAATCAATTGACCATATACGTGAATTTTTCTGCAATCTTGGATGGCACACTATGGCAACCTGATTTTTAAATGTGTTCAAAAAACCAAAGGGCCAAGAAGAGCCAAGACAACTTGAGGAAGACAGAATCAGAGGGCTTAACATTACAGTAATTAAGACAGTGTAGAATGGGCACATAAATGGGCAAATTAAAAAATAAAACATAACAAGTCAGAAAAAATTAATATATATGTAGTCACCTGACTTATAGTAAACTTCTGCTGTAATTCACTGGACAAGTGATGGCCTTTTCATTGAGAAAGTAAATGAAACTTTATCCTACCTCACATCACATATAAAATTAATTCCAATGAATCATAGAGCTAAATATGAACCATAAAAGTAATCAAACTTCTAGAACAAAACATAGGTGACATCTTCATCAATGTTGGATTAACAACAATTTCTCGAACAGGATGTAGAAAATTCTAACCAGAGTTCCCACAAATTGAAAAGAAAAAGCAAACAATCCACTTTAAAAAAATGAGCAGAGCATCTGAGCAGGCACTTCCCCAAAGAGGATATTCACATGGCCAATAAGCCTGTGAAATGGTGCTCAATATCATTATATTCAGGGAAGTGCAAATTGGAGCAAGAGTAAGATGCCACTACACTCACACCAGAATGGCTAAAATTAAACAGACTGATAATATTAAGTGTGGACGAATATGGGTACATTTGCTTTGTAAAACTCCTTGGCAGTTTCTAATAAAGCAAACACATACCCTATGAACCAACAATCCCACTACTATAGGCACACCTACCGGAAATGCATACGCAGGTCTCTAAAGGACACATACAAGAATGTCCTCAGCCACATTATTCATAACAGCAAAGCAACTAAACACCTCCTAAATGCACAGAGAAATGGATGCAGTGTTTATGGTATTATTTATCTAATAGAACACTATACAGCAATGACAGTGAGCTAACTATGGCTACAAGCAATATCGTGGATGAATTTCATGGGCATAACGTAGGGCAAAAGAAACCAGACATGAAAGATTATATGCTGTCAGTTTCTATTTCTATGAGGTTCAGAAATAGGCATAACTAATACATAAGTGAGTATAGAGGTTACCTCTGCAGGGGAGGGAAGGGCTAACTGGAGGCTGGGTGAAGGGCAGGGGTACTTCTGAGGTTCTGAGAATGTTCTAGAACAGACTTTCTCCACCTTGGCACTACTGACATTTTGGGCCAGAAAACTTTGTTGTGGAGGCTGTCGAGGACCGCAGCATTCCAGGCCTGTAGCCACTAGGTGTCAGTGGCATAATCCCTTCTCCCAGCTGTGACAATCAAAAATGTCTCTAGACATGGCCTAATATCCCCTTGGGTAGAAAGGTGCAGAATTTCCCTGGTTGCTGGTCCTGGGGGAGTCAGGAGTGTGCACTCAACTTATGGAAGTTCCTTGAGTTGTGCACAGAAGATTTGCCGACTTTTCTGTATGCATATCAAACTTTAAAGTTTTTAAAATAAAAAACCAAGCTAATGAATAACTAAAAGAACCAGAAAGTTTTTGAGCAAGCAGAGACAATAGGTACAGTGCAGTTAAAGGTCTTATTTGCAGGCAAAGAGATGAAGATCCAGGGTGGCTCGGAGTAGACACAGCCAGTAGGACATGGTGGAGAGCCTCCCCCCATTCCACCCCCCCGACTTCTACTCTCATTTCCTCCCCACACACCCTCACACATTCTAGCTCCCAAATGCCACCAGTCCGCATAGATGCTGATCCCATGCAGGGCTTGGTTGGACCTTCGGAACCCAAACCCCATTGTGGAAATAGTTAGAGTTGGTGGACGCTGCACCGCCCAGCACCCTGCAAAGAGAGTATCATGCAAACAGGATATTAGCTTTTGTCAGAAAGATCAAAAAGGGCTTGAGGTTTTTCTTCACAGCCTCAGCCTCGCCTCTCCCCCCTCACTGGCTTTATCTGGCAGGTTCAGCGTGCAGGCAAGCCTCTCGCCCCGCAGGCAGGAAGAGATGGCAGCCGGGGAGACACAGCTCTACGCCAAGGTCTCCAGCAAGCTCAAGGGCCGCAGCAACCCCTCGCTCCTGGACCCCCTCCTGGCCATGGGCTTCCCCATGCACTCCGCGTGAGTACTGCCCAGAGACCCCAGAGCCTGTCCAACTGGGCTGGAGTCAGACCCAGGACGCCGGCTTCCCGTCCAAGTGCTGTGCTTTGCAGTGCGAGATACTGTCTTCACAGAAGGCCCTCTTCTCCTTTTCATAAGTGAGGTGATCTTGACCTTTGAAAGACCATGCTGTCTAATGGGAGAAAGGGATCCTGAAATATGTGAAAATTAGAAGCCATGTGCTCCTCTGGCCACCCTTGTTTGGGGGGATCTGAAGGAGCTTGGGGCCTAGTTGTAATCTCTTTGTATGCAGCACAGTGATTCTGAAGGAGACATTTCAAGGTGTTTCAAACTCTAATGGGAAAGGCCCCAAATCCCACTGAGTCTTTAGTGTTGGGATCTGTTTTGAGAACCCTCAGCAGGACTGTGTTTCTAGTCTGCACAAGGAAAGCCATTTACCCTTAGGGACAATATCTTGAGTGTCCGATGATGAAACAAAATGGTTTAAGAAATTGCAGAGACAGACTTCTCACCATCTTACTTGTCCGAGGAAAAGGTTCACACATGGGAAATTTTAACTGTAGGAGTTACTCCTCTCAGAGAGGGAAAAAACAATGTAGACACTGGGTTGCAGCTCATGACAAACCAGTGTCTTAGATCAGGTCCTTTTCAGATGCTTATTCACATGGGAAAATATATCAGAAACACATTTCCAGTAGGCTCAGATCTGGGAGAAAGCTAAACTCTCCTTCAACACTGTCATAAAAATTTGACCAAATTGGATGAAATAAATTTCTAGTTCAACTCCTTTCTTCTCCACCCAAAATCAGGGTGTTGTCATCACCACTCTGTTCGTGATGAGCCAGGGGTCTTTTTAAATGGGGAGCGGAGTCAAGGGTGTGCAGAAGGCCAGGGGACAGCACCATCCAGGCAAAACACCAGAGGTCCCTCTTGTCTGTCACTCATCGCGCAGGCATATAGGACTCTGGGCCCAGAGCGGACAAGAGCAGGATTTGAATCGGCTCTCACTGCCACTATAGGACGCCACACTATTTTAGTACTCAGGCTGTTGTGTGAACTTAAACTCAATATTCCTTCCAGTTTAAATATTAAACACATGTGGAGGATAGAAGAATGCGTTTTAAATTTCTTACTTATACCAGAGCACTACAAAGTAGGGCTCCAAGTCTAGGCCCCGTGAAGACCTCTCAAGGTGGCAACAGCCCCATCGGTATCCCCCAAAATAGCAGCATTGGGCAGCAGCATAGTGGGTTCCTTGCAGGCACTCGCTATTTCCAGCCTGCATTCCTGATAAATTACCTCAGCCTTATTCCATTCTGTTCAGTTTGGTCCAGTTTAGTTAAATTCTACTTCGTGTTTAGACATCCCAGGTTACTATGATGGGTAAGACATAGCCCAGCATTCAGGAACCTAGCCGTTTAGAAGGGGAGACATATGGCCACATGTGAGTTGTAAGGGCCATGATGATCATTTGCACAAGCGAGGGAGAAACAGAAGGACTGCAATCCTTGCCTGGGCGGTTTGGGAAGGGGTGCTTCCCGGAGGAGAAGGTATGAGGGAGCTGAGCCTAGAAGGATTGGGTCATTTCCCAGGGGATGCGGGGTGAGGTGGCATTTGTCAAGGAAGTTTGTGTGCATGCCAAGGGCACAGTCTATAAGTAGGTCTGTTTTGCTCCGGTGCAGGGTGTGTGGGGAGGGCAGGGACGGGGCCTGCAGGAGTGGGTGGAGGTCAGGTCCCCAGCACTGGGACCCCATGCCAAGAGTTGGATTTGGGAAACCAGGGAAGGACAGTGAGCAGAGTCATGTGGGCTGGTCAGCACTGCCCAAACCCATGATGGCAGTGCAGATGGGCACTTGGGCATGCCCCTGCCGGGAAGTCCACCAGCTAGGCTCTCACAGGAGGGCGCCCTGAAGGCCTGGTGTGTGCAAGTCTACAGTCTGCTCCCTTGACCCTTTCTCAACAAATGACCAGTGTGACTCAGTGCCCTGTGTCTGCTTTTCCCCAGGCTGAAAGCATTGGCAGCCACTGGAAGGAAGACGGTGGAGGAGGCCGCAGACTGGTGAGTGCAGCTGCTCCAGCAGATCTGGAGGGCCCTGTGCCCGAGGACACACTCTTGCTAGGTAGAGCCTGGGAAGTGTCCAGTACCCTCTGGTTAGGATGGAGCCACCCTGAAAGTGAAATGAAATGGCCTCCACACCTACCCACCGAGCCCTCATTTATGAGAGAGAGAGAGAGAGAGAGACAGAGAGATAGAGAGACAGAGAGACAGAGACAGAGAGAAGCAGAAAGACAGAGAAACAGACAAACACAGAGAGAGAAATGGTGGGGGAGCAGAAAGAAAGATAGAAACAGAGGGAAGGGGAAACAGAGAAAAACAGACGGGGAACAAAGAGAGAGGAGGAGTGAACAGAAACAGAAGAGAGACAGAGAGAGAGAGAGAGAGAGAGAGGGAAACAGAGAGAGAGAACAGAAAGCGGAAAAGAGAAACAAAGAGAGGGGGAGAGAGAAACTGAGAGGGGAGGAATCAGAAAGAGAGAGAGAAGGGGGAGAGACAGAAACAGAGAGAGAAATGAGAGAGAGATAGAAACAGAGAGAGAGAGAGACAGAACCAAATGTACACACACAGAGAGAAAGAACTTTGAACAAAGCTTTCTTCATTTAAAAATCTGATTTAGTCCACATTTGACTGTCAAAGAAGAAAAAAAAAATTGTGTGATTTGTTGAATAAATAGGGAGGAGCCATCTTTGCTGATGTAAATAGAGGCTGCCATGTTCACAGGCTGCCTCTGATGGGAAGAGACCTACAGATGGTCTTGAACCCCCCCCAGGGCGCCAGGTGTTTGGGTAGGGTGAGGGTCTGGCTCCAGGCAGCCCCTCCACACACCACCCACATGACTCTGCAAGGCGCCCTCTGCCACTGCCTGTGTTCTGCTCTGGAATGGTAGTAGGTGGGGAGGACTCTCTGTTTTCTAGAACCCCAGATGTGCCATGAAGCCATCACTCTGCCCCAGGTAGGGAGTCCCTCATCCTCTGCTCTGCAACAGCCACAGGGAAATTCAACAATAGTCAGGCACCACAAGGCTGGAGGGCCCTCCCCAAAGCAGGAGGTAAATACTGATCATGGGTCTCTGAGTGTACAGTGTTCTCAGTGGAAACCTCCTTCCTCCTCCGGAAACTTTATGCCAAGGGCAAAATACACACCACCTTCAGTGACAAAGGGAGTGCCCAGAACCCTCAGTGCTAGTCTAAAGCCCATTGCCAATTTTGAGTTAAAAACCAAGACCACTATCATAGAAACAAAGAAAAGAGTACCATATGTTCTCACTCATAAGTGGACCTTGAACAATTATCATACTATAAGAAAGGGATTAAGCCGGGCTTGGTGTCTCAGCCTGTAATCCCGCGCCTTTGGGAGGCTGAGGTGAGTGGATTGCCTGAGCCCGCAGGTTTGAGACCTGCCTGGGCGGCGAGACCTCATCTCTACAATAAAATCAAAAAATCAGCCGGGCATGGTAGCGCATGCCTGTAATTCCGGCTACTCGGAAGGCTGAGGCGGAAGGATCGCC